GACATGTACAAGCTCGTATTGTTCCAGGATTTCTGCACTTATTTCTTAAAAATAATTATTAAAATATTCTTTCTGCACTACCTGAACAAAAATTTGTAGAGATAAAAAAAATAACCAGAGGGGAAAAGTAAGAAAATGTGTGAGGAACATGTGATTATCAGCAGCAGAATTACTTTTGATAAATGAAAGGTGTTTCCTCCTTCTCTATGTTTCTGCTTCTTTCAGTGCTTAAACCATTCCTATCCGCATAAAAAAATTAAGCTTATTTTTTGAAATGGAGCCTGATGAGTTAACACTTTGCATCTCATACAAATACAATGCTCAAACTGATCGCCACACCCCCAAAAGAGGGTGGAGCTTTGGGTGCCAGAAACAGCATTTGTTCCTGTCACCTTCCCCTAACTGCCGGTTGATTCCCCATTAGCAGAACTTAACAGTGAGGCTCAGGAAGTGAAAATCCCATTCATATTCCCCATAAGGATTTTGGATATGATCCATAATGCTGTGACCATTCGGAGGAGACTCAATGATGAGAGAATGTGAGAGAATATTTGCATGGCATTCATTTTCATTCAGGCTTTCTTACTCAGATAAAATTGTTCAAGGCATCTACACAGATGAGCTTCCCGGTTACGTAACAGTAGTAGCAGCACTTGTGGCGCACAAAGACTGAGCATAAAACGTATGGCACTCTTGCAAGACGTGCATATATGACACTGCTGGTTTGGAATCGTTGTGCATTGCCAGCACCTGCAGACATTAGTAAAAGAATTGATAAGCTCAGACAAGATAATTCCGATTCTTTGGAAAAAATTTTATCTACTTCTCAATTTGAAGGGATGAGGTGTAACAATGCAGCAGCATTAACAATATAGGTGGCACCATCAAAAACAATTGTTCAAAATCACAATTATTATTTAACCACATTATTAATTCAATGTCATGAGAAACCAGTCAGTTAGCTAGATTTAGGCAATAAAAAACTTCTCATTAGGTTTGGTTTAACTCCACAGGTTAACATACATTTCAGTCTTTCCGCAGTCCTCTTAAATATTTTAGTTTCACAGTCATGCTGACTGTCAGGAAAGATGGAACAATTTAAGTCGATGAACATAAACAAGCATATATGGTATAAAGGTTGGGCTTTTATTGTGGAAGGAAGAAACCCATTTTGCACATGCATGCAACAGATTGGTGTATGATAAAGAAGGGACGGCTGCGAGATGTGATTTTCGACTTCTGCATATGCTTTGTCTTTATGTTTTTCACTACCTGACTCTTTATTAAAGACTCTCTATTAAAGAACAAACTGGAAAATGACCTGGTTTGGGAGAATCTAGCGATACAATCAGTTTATCTAGTTTTAATTATTAAAGTGTAATATTTGAAGATTTTTGGCTAAAACTCAAAATAACTGAATTAACTGAATGTATGGTGAGCTTTGGGTTCGGTTTGTAAAAGCTCTTTAAAAACATGCATCAGAACCTTTGTGTCTATGCTTATAGAAGCTCCAGATCGGAGAGTGATGCTTCAGTAAACACTCTTTACACTCCTCCTTTTCCTCTTCCTCCTCTGCTCCTCCATCACGTCTCTGCGCACAAACACGATCAAATACAGTCCTTTGTCCCATCTGTCTGCTCTTATGAATATCTTCCCCTCTCCTCACAGCCGTCTTGTTGTTCAGGAAGGTTTTAATGTAATGGAACGCCGCCGTGAATCAGGCGCATGAATGCTGCTGCCGCCAGCGCCGCGCGGCCTCCACCTCCATCAATCTGCTGATGCATTCTGGGAGCAGCTTCCCTTTCACTTGTCTGCAGGCTGTTTGCTCAGGGTTATAATTTACCTCTGCTTTAGCAGCCACAAAGGGAAGCAGTTTGGATTTATCTGCGGCTGCCCGGCGTCATGACAACGTCACGACCAGAAAACACAGCACCTGAAAAGAGTCACCGGGCTGGACACCAACTCATCATGGAGCCTCCAATACAGAGTGTGAAGACTGCAGGTTTCCATAAAGAGAAGCCTTCATTTAGCATCCCAGCATCAATCAAACAGAAACACGTGAAAGAGATGTCTAATGGGTCAAACCGAAGCTCTGACAGTTATTTATAAAACCCAGTCTGCACCACACACATTATTCAAAGATGCACGTCAACACTCAGACGTCACCCTTTGGTTTGCGAAGCTTCAGTGGGAATATTTAAGCTGCACCCATGTTGGTTTTTTTCTGAAGCCAGAAGGGACCATAAGTAGAAAAGCGTTCAGACTGCTAAGTTAGCACCACAATTACCTGTGATATATGGGTAATGGTTGCTGTGGTGACGCTTACAATTAGTCTCTTTCGGTACAACAAGATGCCTGTGAGTCACATAGGCCACACCCCTAAAATGATATGAACTTTAAACTGGAATGCCATTTAAACAGGTGAGTTATAAAAGCATTCGGCCATTGTACAGATGTTATGAAAGGGAAATTGTCCGTGGAGAGTTTTGTATCAGGGTGTAAACATATTTATTTGCGCTGTAAAGTTTTATTTTAGCATGGGAGTCTATGTGGACTGACTCACTCCTGGAGCCTCTAGTGGACATTTGAGGAATTGCAGTGTTTTCCAAACGTGTTAATAAATTCTCAATGTCAAATTGTTTTCTCCAAAGTTTGAGTCAGTATGTTGAAATTTTGAGATAATAACCTGAAATTTCTAATTATGGATGGCAAAAAAATCCACAGCTTTGATTCTTTTATCCATTTGCACAATACTATGTCACTTTTAGAATCACCTGCACTGATAGCTAAGCTAAGCTATTTATTTCTCAGGATATAGTTATATTGTTACTTGTTACAGTTATTTGATATTATATTTTGCACTATCCTACTGTATATTATACATATACATATTGTATATCTTATTCCTCTGCTCCTCTGTCTCTCTTGCTGCATCGAGCATGTGTATGATGAAAGAATTTCCCTCGGGATAAATAAAGTTCTTTTTATCTTATCTTTAAAATCCTTAAATTTAAAATGGATGAATCCAGTTGTAACTGTAGCTGATAAAGTAATCTTACAATGGACAGCTAAGTGACTAAAACAGTTCCGGAGTTCTGAATGTTTACACCAACCTTCATACACTCAAGATAACATTTTACTAATAAAACCTAATAAAATCTTACAGTTTGACCATGTTAGCAGGCAGGCTAGCGTTAGCTTAGTTTAGGAAGAAGAAATATTCTTTCTTTGATCCTGAAAACAGAATAATTCCTCCACGACTTCAGCGTCCTGCTGATGTTGAACCCCGATGTACGGTAAGATGGTTTCACTGGATAGAACAACTTTTTCTTATTATTTCTGCTGCACAATTAATTAAATTTAAATCTTGATTATGATTTTTACTTGACACAGTTAAATTAGCATGATTGTGCAATGTTTAAAGTGTGTGTTTTACCAATTAACACGCAAAGGAAAAGCAAATCAACCGCTCCCCAAATCAATGCTTGATGGTGTGCCTGCATGAGCCAATGACAGCTGTTCTCTGCAAAAGTTTTATTTCCGGCACAGCTTTGATTTCGGAATTTTAGGCGTCTGGTGTGTAAAGGCTGTCCACTAAAGTTTGATCTATTTCGTGTTTTGGCTTTTTTGTGGCCCAGATCTGGAATGAGAACCACTCCTTCCATGCGGCGAAAAGGATCACACCTAACGAATGTAAGAAAAGGTCTCATCGGGTGTTTCTTTGACCAAACCCAACCGCCACGGTTCCTGAACCTGAACCTTCGTCTCGGAGGTGAAGAACAAGCAGCATGATGTTCAGACTCCTCCTACTCTTCTACCAGAGGAACAATGAGCCTCTGTTGAGGACTCCCAGTCGGACGCTCCGATGGAGATGATGAAGATGATGCTGAAGGTGATCACATGCAGATGGATGGGTGGGGATTGGGCGTCCTGACACCAACACAGGGGTCATGACCTCGCAGCACTTTGCAGACATCTGTGGCTGTTGCACATTCCCCAACATCTCCCTCTGACCAATCAGCACTCGGCGAGAATGTGTGACCTGCCACCCCTGAGGCCACGCCTCCTTTGATACACACACCCTCATCAGCATGCATGGCTGCAGTCCTGGTCTGTATCTGACCTGTCGGGCAACAATGGGGGGCTGCGGCTGATCTATGGCCGCTGCTGCTTTGTGCCTCTGTCACAGAAGAAGAGAGAGCAGAGCAAGCAGGAGGAACTTCCTGTCAGATAAATTAGTCCTCGCTCTAAATTCCTGCTCAGACAGCAGCTCTGGAGGTTAGAAACCCTGCTGAGGGCCTATAGGCTGGGCAGACTTTGTCGCCCCCTGCAGGCAGAGCTGCAAAACTCCCTTAAAACACAAGTTTTTAACTTTCAGTGAACTATTCGAGGTCAAGTGTCTAGCATATAAATAAAATATGTATATTTATTTTTAAAAAAATAGTATTTAACAATTTTAAAGAACATTCTAAAAAACGTAAAAAAATTATATATTTTTTACTTTATAAATGACCATACTTGCATAAATCATATACTGCATCTCCATGTATGTTTACGTTTTGATTGATCGCTGCACTTTTGGGGTGGTTCAAGACTTTTGCCCAGTCCTTTTTGCTCTCCTAGCTGTGTGGATGCTTTTTATTAACAAACAAACACTTTTTTTTCCTTTCATAAACATTTATTTCAAGTAGTATAAGAAAAAATAGATTTTTTTTACATTGTTTTTGTTTATATGACTTTTTATACAGTACTTTCTGTGCATTTAGAAAAAAAGTCAACACGAGTTATTTGATGTAGGCAGCAGAGCGAAGACAAGTCAGAGCTGACAGAAACGCCAAGGATGCTGGGAAAAAGAGCAAGAAACAGCAGAACAGCCAGCTAAACAAACCACGACCGGAAAAGTGCTTTTAGACGCCACGAGGCGGCGAAGGCGACCCTCTGAACAGGAAGTCGAATTTTAAAAAGAAAAAAAAACAAACAAACAAAAAACAAGCACACAGTTTGATTTCAGGTTTTATAAAAGTGCCCCAAAATAATAATTAAAGTGGAGACAGGAAGCAGTTTGTTCTGATTTAGAGTCATACAAACACTCCTCTCAGCTGATGTACATTCAGAGAGTTCACACACACACACACACACACACACACACACACACACACACACACACACACACACACACACACACACACACACACACACACACCTAACTGTAACTGTGAAGACATGCGAGCGCAGAACTTTGGCAACACGTCAGGCTGAAGGTCGAGTGGCAGCTGGAAAATACAGCAGACATCTTGGTGATGATGTCACAGTGCGGACTAGGGTTGGGGGGAGGGAGGAGCCTAGCCGGGTCACATGGCATGTTTCTGGATGCCTGGGGTGAACTCCTTGGCATTGGGGTTCAAGCTACTGGTCACCTGAAGGAGAGAAGAAGAAAAACCATCATTGTTATTTCTGTGAAGAAAATAACGAAACAGCGACCTCTGCTGGACAGATGAGGGTCAACAGTCAGAGACTAATTTAATAATCAACTAATTGGGAAGAAAAAAAACCTGAGAAACAAATGAGTGTGGAGATGTTATCAGACACGTTCAGGCACTGTGCTGTGTCTCACTTAGCAGCTCTTTCTGTATTATTGATTTCATCCTTTTTTATTGCACTATTTTACACATTGTTGTATCATACACATGTTTCATTCAGATTAAACGTGTTTCAGTGTTTCAGATTTTTACTGAATTAAAGGTCCTTTGTCTTTTTCCATTTGGCTATACTAAATTATTTGTGTAGTTTTTATTCTATTTTTCAAACTTTATTTTATTTTATTAGTGGTTGTTTTTAATGTTTTGGCTCCTGTAACAGGATTTACCAATATTTGGAATGAATAGAGTATATTTGCTGTAATCCTACATTTTCATAATCAGGCCTACTTAAAAAAAAAAAGAAAGAAAAGAAAAAGGTTTCATACTTAAAAGAAAGGAAAAAAAGAAGAAGTTAACACTCCAGTGAATTCTGGGAAAAATATTCATTGTTTGCCTCTTCTGCAGAGCTGACCTCAGATTTAATTATCTCTTAAAGTTTTATCATTCCTTCAAGCAAACACACCTAAACACACTGCAGATAATCGTTTTCATCTGCAGACTGTTTTTTTTTATAATCTGTTGGAATAATGTCAGCTGACAGGACGCCATCTTCTGGTGTCCTTTTATTCTTATGGCCAAAACACGAGTTTTCTCTGTAACCGATGGTAAAGGTGATAAACTCACCACCACATCCAGGTCTTTGTCGCCATCGAGGACCAGGAGGCTGATCTGCTCTTGCAGCTGGCTGACGCTTTGAGAAGGGAGATCTCTAGACGGGATGAACCACTCCCACTCCTCCTCCTCATCCAGCATCTCCTGGAAACAGCGCTCGATGAACTCCTCCTCCCACAGCTCCTCCTCCACCTGCCGAAAACACAGACAGAGAAGCAACAGTCACAGGTTTGTTGGACCAACAAAGAACCAAAACTTTTAACATGTCGTCCAACCCGAGAGCGAACATCACACAGATAACACTTTAAGGAGAGACGCTACAATGTTCTTCAGGTGAATCTGCTCTGCACCCCCTTCTACTAATCCAGTTATCCTTGTTTCCTTCTCTGGCTAAGATGATGCTGGTTAGCAGCTCAATAAATAAGCCCAGGCTTTCCTAATCTAGCAATGAGCGTGTTCACATGGCAGAGGCAGGGTTTGCAGCACCTGACCAATCACAACGAGACGACTACTCGAAACAGAGCGGCTGATTTTACAAATATAACTCGGAAACATTGAAAGAGTTTAACACAGAACAGAGTTAAAGTAACACAGCAGCTGCAGTCCTCCTTCCTTTGTGAAACGTAACGCTCTCTAAAACACAGCTCCACGGACTCTGTTTCCTTTTTCCAAACAAAACATCCTTATGGAAATTTCCAACCGGACGCCTCCCACCTACTCCTCTGTTAACCGACTCCACACGCTGTCAGCTGATTGCATAATCAGGCCACTGCCTGACCTGAATTCCAGCTCAAGGAGCCACTGCTTTGTGGTGCACACAGGCTTCAGCTGCTCAGTGTAATTTTCCTTCAAACTGTAAATTTCCACCTTAAAATCACAGCTACTTTTAAGAATGCACAATTTCTAAATGTTAACCTTCTTTTAATCTGTAAACAAAACCCTAGATTTCCACCTTAAAAACATGAATCTGTAGGCACTGACCTTTGTTTTCAGTTGAACAACACAGGTGTTGGAAATATTCTATTTAATCTGTTGACCAACATACTTTCACCTTAAAGTGCACATTTGCTGTAAAAATCACAATTTTTGAAAAACAGATTTCCACCTTAAAAACCAAAATCAGCTGAGTCCGTACATAAACATACAAAGTTTCTTTTTATCTTCAACTTAGAAGTCCAGATTTTTACCTTAAGATTTGTCATCTGTATATACAAGACGTACAACAGCACAATTTCTGCATTTAGCCTGTAAAGATAATTACAGATATCCACTTTAAAAAGTCACCCATCATGCTTTCGGATACTTTCCCTGCCTTCAAATCAAATCAACCTAATTTCACTTTATTTCTCTTAATCTCAATAAACTACAATTTAAAATTCACATTACCACCTTAAAAATGAATATGTTTCTAGATACTTCTCAAATAAATAAGTCCAAGTTAAGGCTATTTTTTTCTTGTAACATAAACCCCAGATTTGCACTTTAAAAGTCTATCTATGGAAACTGATCTTCCAAGCAAAGCAGATTGGAATTATACTGCAACACTATGACTAAAACAACAAAATTCTGACATGTAGTTTCCCTTAAACCTCCAATTCCAACCAGGAAAGTCTGTCTGCAGAAATCTACACCATAACATACTGCTTTATCCGCATATGGGCGCTTCACATCAGAGCAACGTGAGTGTAATCTATAAAAAAAAGAACAGATTTCCTCCTTAGAAGGTGACTGAGTCTGTTTGAAAATACTGATCTTTGCTTACAACTAAAAACAACCGTTTAGGTACAACTTATCTTAATCTGCAGATTTCCATCTTAGAAACAGAGCTCGCTGAGCTCATATAAAAATTAACAAATCCGCAACTTCATCTGTTTATTCCCACCTTAAAAACTTATCTTGGAGATGCCTTGTCTGTCTCCCAAAATAAATCACCCTCAAGTCAAACCTTAAAGCAGTCAGAGGAGTCTGTGTGCAGATGCTGATCTTTCATTTTAAGTAGATGAATATAGACTTGAGGTGTAATCTGTCTGGAAAATGACAGATTTCGATCTTAAAGGGGAAAGCTATATTTGTCTGCATACACAAGTTTTAGAGAACAATTTCTGGGTGTAATCTGTAAACTGAAAAACAGATTTCCACCTTAAAAGTTATCTGAGTCCACCTTACATTGGACATAATGTATCTATAAAACAATAGTTAATAAAAAAGATAATTAGTCTGTAATCTCAGGCAATAATTACTCTTTCAACATGTTATTCAAACATTAGATTTCCACCTTAATAGTCAACTGAGTCTTTCTGTAGCTACTGGTTTGAGCTATAACTTCTCTTTAAACGCCAACTCTGTTCTACCTTAAAAGATCAGCCTGCTTTGTTTTGGATGACTTTTCCTCCTCCATAATAAACTTAATTTCAGACTCTTTAACCATTTTTCCGCCTTAAACGCAGATTTTTTCACTTGCAGTCCAGGTCAGCCTCGTCCCAGCTCCTCACCTGCCTGTTGAACTCCTCCTCGTTCTCCATCCACATATACTCGGCGAACGGGTCGTCCTCAGCGTTGAACTGGCTAGTGAGGATCAACTCGGTGCCGGTGGTCATGTTCGGGCACCCGCTGCTGATGCTCGGGTCTTTCATGTCTACAAGGAGAACCAGAGGACACAGTGAGGGAGAGGGACAGGGGTCAGCGGGAACAAACACGTAGCTTCGACCGTTATAATGCTCGCCGTCATGGCCGCTGTCTGACGGACAACAATAGCAAGCAGCTAGCGAATAATTTTTGGCGAGAACACAACAGAAACAGAAAAATATCACCGCGAAAACACCACCGCGAGCACCCAGCCGCGTTAGAGGAGCACGGGGGAACGGGCAGCTGTGTATTTATGAAGCACAATACCTTCGGGGGTGATTTATTCGACGACAGAGAAGACAAACGTCAACTCGCTGGAACTCGGTTGTTGCTGTAATGGCCGCGCTGCTTCTGTTTGTTTACATCTCCAGCGTCACCGTGCGCTCGCTCCTCATTGGTCGAGGACTTGTTGCCTTCACGGGCCTCGTGGTTTAACGTCGGAATCTAACAAGAGGACCACATAAGGTAAACGTTATTTATAACAGAGGTTAAGAATCTCCTCTGGGTCTCTGTTTCATTTTTTATTCATTCACTAAATATCACAGTTGGGTACAGAGCTTTATGTCTGGGTTTCACATTATAATTGACGCTACACTTTAGCTTGTTATTTTTTATATTTAGTCATCAATGTAAGTATATCACTGGACATCATGAATAAATACCAGCTTAGGTATTTCTCTAAATTGATGTAGCTACAGTTTCCATTCAAGAGAACAGTCATGGGTCTCTGTTGATTATTATGTTTACAGATGACATTGTGAACTGCAGTGAGAGCAGGTGGAGGAGAGGTAGTCTCTGGAGAGAAGAGAAGTAAAAGTCAGTAGAAGCAAGAAAGAATACATGCGTGTAAATGAGAAGGAAACAAGTGAAAAGGTGTACATGAAAAGAGCTCAGGTTGAAGGTTGATGAGTTTAATTAATTGGAGTCAACAATCTAAAGCAATAAACATTGCACAAGGGGAAGAAGAGCGTGCACACTGGGTGAGGTGGAGTGGTTGGAGACGAGTGTTGCGGTGGCCTATGAATGGAGCAGTCAAAGTATAAAGGTTCAGTAGGTGTAGGTGTTGTGATTCTTTTGTGTAGAAAGGTTTCAGTGTTGTCTGGATTAAAAAGCAAACGGTGAAATAACTATTTTGTGTGGGTTTACAAGTAGAGTAAACTGTTTGTAGATCTTTTACACAACTATAATCTGCCTAGGATAAGAAAGTCCATGTCTGAGCAGTCCTTGTGTAGTTGGTTTTTTTTATCTGAACATCCACTCACACCCAGCATATTTCTTTGTTTTGTAATTTGATCTAGTTCTTTAAATTTGATCTAATTCTTTCAATTTGAGAAGGGCTTTCATCACGTTAGGTGCTGGCACCTTTTCTGACCTTGAATGCAGCACTGTAGTCCAAACTGTAGTCCAAACTCTGAAAGCCCGCCTTCCTCCGAAAGTTTATAAAATCCACTGATTTAACAAGCCTAAACCCATTTTTTAAACCAAATACATATCCTCTATAGTGGTAAGAGAACCTGAGAGAAATTATTATAGAGGAGCTAAGTGTGTGTTGTGTTAATAGCTATTTTCATAGAAAACGTTTAAGCAACGAACAGAAACAAAAACACCGCCTGATGCAGGAGGAGATGAAATATCGCGATACTTCACATCCTCTAGTTTGGTCACCTGTCTCGTGCTATTTACTAATCAGCTGCGATCGGGTGTTGGAGAAAGGGTAAGAGTGTCCGTAATTACAGATAAATCATATTATACACGTAAACTCACGGTTAACAGCTTCATGCACAGTTTGCACGTTAAATATCAGATAACTAAAGGCTGTTAGCTATGCTAGTGTTAGCAGGTAGGAGATGTATGTTAGCAAAGTTAGCTGCGCAGCTTATCTGAGTCGTTTTTGGCTTCATTTTTCTCATTAATGACAGCGTACTTAATCTTTTAGTTAACATGTCAGGTTAAACAACGTAGACATAATAGCGCTGTTAGCTTAACTGTTAGCTCGACCCGTAAAGCGTGTTTGCTGCAACTTTCCTTCTCCTCTCACTGTACCTGCAAAGATGTTACTCCTGGTCTGTGTCAGGCTGTGATTCACTTAGGGGCTCGCTGTAATCTCGCAATCTTATTGATGTTTCCATGGACTCAGAGTTTCTCTTCCTCAGTGAGGAGGTCTCCATCACTCTGTTTGCATCAGGTCATGTTCCTCCTGCTGGGCTGAGGTGAATCTTTCTCTCTCTCCTCCTTTAACCGCTTCCTATGTTCCCTTTGCAGTAAAGATCAGAGTCGTGCTCCTCCGTCTGTTGGTCAGGGCCTCCACTGGCTCCTGTTTTCTTAGGAGAGGCTTTGTTTGAAGCTTTTTCTACCTCATTGTGTCTCAGCAGAAATAAGACTTGCCACCACAGAAGAAAAGGAGCTCCTGCTCACTTTGACCACATTAAGTTCCTGTCATCTTTGAAGACCTTTTCCAGCGCCTGTCTCCTTCTTTATCTTGGCTCTCTGTGCTGAATCCAGAGAGCAGGACAGACTTTTTGATATCATGTCTCAGAAGACGCAGGCTGACGGCGCTCAGAAACACTTCGCTGTGGGTCGGGGGCTCCTGGCCGCTGCAGAAACCTTGAACTTCAACATGAATGAGCAGCGTCCCAACAGACCAGTGGGGGTGGGGGTGGGCATGGAGGGCCTGGACGGCAGCGGGCAGATGCCCCAATGTGGCGGCAGCACTAGCAATCTTGGCAGCACAATGAAGCTGTTTGCCAGTTTGGGGCTGTCGCCCTCTGACCTGGACGCTCTGGCTGAAATCCCTGAGGAGGAGATCAGTGTGGAGACGCTGCCACACATCCTCAGACAGCTGAAGAGTCGCAAGGGGGAAGCAGGAGAGCGGCGGGCGGCCATGTCCTCTGATGCTGCGTATCGAGGAGGAAGCTGGGAAGAGGGGCACGTGGGGAGGATGGGCGTTTCTTCTCTGGGACAAGGTTCAGCCAAGTCCTCCACAGACTTTGGGTACAGCTCCCTGCAGGACGTCTCCTCCAGCCGGGGCTACGGCTTAAATTACAGCGGTGGAGGTGGAGGTGGGAGCAGAGAGAGGCCATACTCTGAGCTTTCCCACCGCAGTGGGCTCGGCATGGGCCCGTCTGAGCCCGTCTTTATGCAGAGGAGGATGGGCTCCCCGTCAAACGGAAAAGTCCAAGACTTCTTGGGAGTCATGCCCCCCATGTTCCCCCACGTGTGCTCTCTTTGTGACTTTGACGTTCATTCCACCATGGTGAGTACGTCCAACCTGCTTCCTCTTTTCTTCTCGGACTAACTGTAAATGTTTGAGCTCCAGTCTTCCTTCAGTCAGTGACAGGCGCTGATTCAGGTCCGGTTTACTTCATATAATTTCCTTGTTGTATCTCCTCACAGCATGTTCCCTCTCTCCATTTTCTCAGCTGAAGCTCTCCAGCATTGAACAATTAGATTTGGATCTTTCCAGCGGTCATCCAATCAAACCAAAAATCTCTTTTTATAATTAGTATCTGTTCACATGAGCTGGTAAAGCTGTTAATGTTACACATTCAGTCTGATTTACTTGATCTTTTCACTTCATTAGCTTTAACAAAGTCCTGGGAGGATCTTGATTCGCTCCTTGTGTCTCCAACATGAAACATTTAAAGCTCCTCACACATTCATGGACTTATCGAATTGGCAGCTTTTAAACCTGTGAGACTTTTGGCAGCTGGGGTCTTGTGTTTGTTTTTCTTTACAGTTTATGGTGTCAGGAGTGAGAAAGAAGGATTTAATCGATTATCACTCGCATTTGGAAATTTAAATTCTCTCTGAGAAGAAATGTACACTTTTTGGCTTTAAAGCAAAAAATTTAACATGGACGCACATGGTTCTTTTCAATGCTGACAAAAACATAATTTACCAAAAGTCAACAGGAAGTTAGTAATCTACTGACCAAAGTCACACAGTGAGCAGGTTTGAAGATATGCGGGTGAGCTCTTCTTGCCTGTATGACTGTCACTGATGGCTTAAGAAAGCATCAAATACTCTCTGTTATAGTGATTATTGCACACAAAATATAATGAATTATTCGTTTTTGTAGATCTTTGTCAAGAGATTTATTCTAAAGACACTTCTTCAGCTAAGAATCTAAAGGTAGAAACACACAGACGCTGCAGCTTTTACTTGCAAGGGCTATCACAGAACGCTCACACCAGAGTGGGGGCCCTGTGATGTGCGCCCTGTTCCTGCACTTGCCTTTATTTATATACAAAAGTAATACAACAGTGAATACGTCTATTCATTAACAGAGGAATGTTAGTATGTAGGAAGTGAAGGTGTGTGTGTGCGTGTGTGTGTGTGTGTGTGTGTGTTATTCTGAAGGACGTGGCCCCTCTTCTTGCAGATAAAAGTATCCAGCTCTCCTCTTCCTGGCAGGAGTGAGATAATAACAGCTTGCTCAGCTATTATCGCTGTGAGAAAGAATTTATAAAGCAAGTCTTGATTCCAACAACAGTCTAAGTCATAAAAGGGTCATCATGCAGTATTCTATAATATGCAAACTTATATCACTAAAAGATTATACAGACTACTAAGTACAATTTTATATTGACAGTCTTAAAAAGATCTTAATCATAAATTTTTGGTTTTAAAATGGAAACCTGATGAAGTGCATTTAAATTCTTAGTAAATCTGGTCCTAAGTGATTGTCTGGGTGACGCTATGAAGGTTAATAACTCTGTGAACTGTTCCTTCAATATACAGGTTGTATTTTAGGAGAAACGGCCTGTTGAGTGTCAGTAATGCTCTGTTTGTGTTTGTAGGAGTGGAACCAACACGTTAACGGACTCCGCCATGCTGAAAAAAGACGGCAGCTTCTGGACATGTGAGTTGCTCTTAATACACAACAGTGAGCCAAAACAGATTATGTTATGAATCTGTT